TGTCGTGACTTGGATCTTTGTCGAGACCCGTTCATCGTGCCATCCGAGGGAAACAACTCGTGAGTATTCATTCATCTTGCTCTTCTCTTTAATGTTAAATAAATGTTTATAAGCCGCTTTCGTCAATACATCAGGCGCTTTTTCTATAAAAGTGCACTAACGTGGGCTCGTTTGGAGTTGGTACCGGAAGAGATTGGCGCAAGCGGAACGTAGTCATCACATCACTCGAAAGCCAATGAGTTTGATTTACAATCTCAATTCCAGAAAATGCGCCTAGCCTCAATCCTACTCAGTAGAGTTTATAAGAAAAAAACAAGGTGTGGTCCTTGATACCTTTCGAAGAATTTTGTTATTAATTCCTTCTTATTAGTCTTTTGTGTTGTATATCCATTATCCCTCCAATATTGCAAATGATGGATTATTGGCAATACACACTCAACAATAACAGTTTACAAATGTTTTTTTAAGCATTTATTAATTTGTTCTCCATTCAGAGCCAGTTGCTATTGTCCCAACTGTCAAAATGAATATAACATGGACGCTATTGAACATCAACTTATCACTGCTTTACAAAAACGATCGATGACTCATGTCCTGCAGGATCTTAAATGCTCTAAATGTGGTGGGGTAAGTGTACCGGTAAAATATCTTTTGAATGGATGTGTTTGGTTTGCTTGAGATTTGATTACCACGGACGTATTTGATTGTTTTTAATGCGTTGTTTTATTTAATTTACAGATAAAGGACACCAATATGTCGAAGTATTGTAAATGTGGAAGTAACTTTACCCTTACTGCCCCAGCAGCTGAATTTGCCGAAAAAATGAGGACGTTTAGAAATATAGCAAAGTAAGTAGAAATAATATAATTTGATGGCTTGTGTCAGAAACAAATCCCTCCTACTGTCCATTCAACTTTACATTTAAAAGCTTTCACCATTTAAAAACCTCCCCCACCCCGACTATCATACAGCCGTTCCTCGCTTCTAGCCTTACATGACGTCACGGGCTGACGGTCGTCCCAGGACCCGCTCTCGCGCTTTCAAGGAACGCCTGGGTACTAGGCTTCTCCATACCCCTACTGTGAGCACTTCCTTGAATGTATATGTACTGTCGTTGTAGACATTACAAGATGAATTTATTACAAGACATTGTCAATTGGATAATACAAGATAATCCTGTTGCAATA